TTGCGCATTTTAGACAGCGCTTAATTATACTACACAGTATATGTATGTTACGAAAACGCTCCGAACCGATAATTACTATGACTGATTCTCGACTTAACTCCAAAACACCAGTGGTTGCAAGAAGGAAGTTGTATTATTTGGCAATCAAAATCGAGGTTAGTACATAGTCTGTAAACAAATGTTTCATACAAAATATGAAGTACTTTTATTCGTTTTCTTTCGCCTTGTTCAAACCTGTAAACGATTGAACCATTCGCGCCTTCGGGTTGCCCACCAGTGGCAATGAACCAACGTTCAATGTTCACTTCCATTGACAGTGTATCAATAAGGGATTCCCCAAGACTATTATTATTAGCTTACAGGAATTCATCTATCTATATTGGGTGATGAATATCACTTTAAGCCCACTGGTTAATCTGAAGGTACTCAGTTAAGTTTTCATGCCACTCGCTAGCCAATCACATTGCTCTTGGTTGTTCGTGAACGCATCCTGGCTAGGCAAGCACAGAACAACAGCCCACATTTTGAATCGCAAAATACTTTTCGCTAATCGGATCGTGGATTATGATTATATGAGTCTGTTCTAAGTGTGACAAGTACCCTGGAGGGTATATATATAGTGCACTTTGAATGTTTGAAGTTTCGTTTCAACGCATTCATGTAATATGGTGCCGCGCTCTCACTGTGCTCCCGGCGTGATTGCTCACACGTGGATCGCTCACCCGTTGTACTATCATTAGGCGCGCTATTGGGCTTGCTACTCCAGCCGGTTAACAGTTAAGTTGTAGAGTATTCCCAAACATTAAATTGGACCTTTAATCTGTGGTGAAATTACAACACTCGTATGAACACGCTGTCTAGTCGTAAGTCCTTTTACTTCGAGTCGGTTTGTAGGTACTGACACGTTAGGTAGAGTACTGATCAGGGTTACCCAAAGAAAGCAGGTTGAGTAGGTACTGACGTTAAGAACTATCTAGAGACTGACATCATCATTAACAGGCATATTAGTTTGAAAACAGCTTATCTTAAATACCTGTGGAAATCCCTCTTCTCGCAAAATAGTAAATATTTTTCGGCCGGTGTAATCGAAATTATGTATCTCCTGAAGAACATTTATGCTGGTATTTGACGAGTCTTCAACTGGAAATGTAGATGCTTAGAAGTTGTTATTTAGTCGAACCTAGAACCTTGTTTTTCGTGCAAGTAGCTTAATTGTACACTGGATTTCCAGAGGAGAGCTCTACGACCAGAGTGCCAGTTAGGGGCCTATGCACCCCGAATAGTCTTCGTCGGTTCTGAATACTTCAGAGAGGAACACACGACTAGTGGATGATAAATAGTATTTGCTCGTTGAATGCTTATCTGTTAGCATTATTTTAGGCTGAAGTGTGGCGAAACTTTCGAGGAGGGGTATTACAGCTTGTATTGTGAGCATTTCCGTCTGTTAATTCCATACACATCTTTCCTTTGCTGATGTTTGGTTGTGACAAATCTTACGCTATTTATGAAAAGCAAAGTGCACTAGTCCATATTTAATTTACTTCATAGTTATTTAGTTAAAATAACCATCAATTTTCATTGCAGTTTACTTGGTTAGTAGTGGTTGTCTCCATTTAGCTAAACGTCGGATTTGTACAGGTAAGGATTGTATTCCACGAAGTTGAACATAGTTTGTTTGAATCCCCATGCTCATGATCATTAAAATTGCATGTTGTTTGTTGGCGATACATTCTGAATTTCGGATTCTTGTTCACTAAGAATAATAGCAACGTCCGTCAGGTTTCATAAAACGTCAATGTCCAAATATTGCTACGTAGAAACTCGAGATGGCCGTCGAAGATTTTCAGAAAAGCGTAGTATTCATCGACGCGAAAACACGAACAATATTTCGCGACAAAAGAATCCTTTATAATTACACCAACATATAAGCAATATTACTGATATTAGACAGGAAGTTCTAAGAAAAATTATTAACGCAAAAATCCACGATATCATTTCGGAGAGTGTATTAAAATTTTCTGAAGAGGGAAACATGAGCCGAAGACTGGAATATCGATGAATCCCGCGAAAAATATCGAGGACTTCGGTTTGAGCAAACAACCATGAATTGATCGTTCAATCTTCAACTCCATTGACACTCCCCGGCAAAAAAGGGATCCATCCCTTTTTTCCTTCACGACCAATACACGTCGACTTGGATGCCATTGCGAGAACCTGGGTCACACGGACAGAGCTGAAATGGAAAACAAACAGGAAAGCCAACACACCACAAGCATACTTACAGCACAATCTCACACATCGCTGACGACCTGCGCCTCCAGACAGAGACCTCCTCTTGACATCTTGCAACACAATCGCCACTTGCTAGAATGACTCTTGCAGAATGCAACGTAACCATAAGAGCACCTCACGATACTCTACGCACATCCTCTTATCTATTCACTGCAATTACCACTGCAATCGCTTGTCACTCATTCTGCCTCAGTTCTAGTAACGGTGACGTATGCGAGCCTCAGTCGTCTAAACTCCCGCTCCTCGGCCTGTAAGAACACAGCTAACAATTATCTCCGTGTGCATTTCATTCTCAGCAATAGCCTAGCCTCCCCGGCGTATACGACCCATCTGCTGTCCTTAGCATCAATCAATTCATTCATGGATGTAGAAGACTCGAAACAACTTCAGAAGTAATCACGACGAAAATTTTAACAAAATTATGCAATAAAAACAAAATACGAAAACAACGAGTAAACACAATGAATCCAAAAAACACCAATTGATATGACACACCACACATATGTACAAACAATGCACATAACCCCAAAGATCATATCTTGACGGAATCCATTTCAAGAATTCTCGAACCTACAACGGTACGCCCGCAAAAATTTTCAGGTTGAGGATTGTAGATTGAAGAATGTCCGGAAACAAAAACTTCTGTTATTAAAGAGATTGAAAATGATGAAATTGACGGTAAAGTGAATATTCGTGATAATGATCATGATACTTCACAGTTGTCTTTGGTTGATCATGATGAAATGAGGGGAATGCCTATTACTGCTAAGTTGAACAAAGGTTCTGTACAACTTGAACGTGAAGTAGAAATAAATGCAGATGCAGTTGCAGACTGCATGCATACTTGTGAGACAGTCAGTGTGATTGATTAGCATGTAGCCCACCTATCGACAGATGTTAATGCTAAACTGGAGCTAATCATAAAAGACAGCAATGGTGGTATTCTTGCAGTTAGACAACCTTCTAAAAGCCGAACAACAACAGCTTCCGATCCACCGCTAAGTTCATCAACTTGTGTTACTCAGTCGTCGTCGTCGGTGTTGTCATCCACAATGAAATGGCCGCCCATGAACTCACGTGCCTTATGCAATGACTATGCTAGTATCAGCCCGTTTGAAGGGACGAATATCAATGGTCAGTTTAATGATGATAACTCAACTGTGTACAAGAGAGTAATTGTTAAATTGACTTGCATGAATAAAGGCATTTCTAGTTTCAATTTACTATTTGAATGTTATTATCTTTGGTGTAAATTACTCTGTTTCTACACTTGGTTGATGAGATATGTCGTGTGTTTGTTCGTCATCTATATTCTACGATACAATGACATGAGCGTGTTTCCGTTCAGATTTGAGTATATAGCTCATAGAAGGAAGTTAGCAAATGAACTCTGCGACGATTTTCCAACCTAGAGCGTCAACCTGAGAAGGGTTGCAGGCGTACCGGTGTAAGTCCTGCAATTATTCAAAGAATTCCACCAAGACATGATCCGCGAGTTTGTGTGTGCTGTTTGTACATATGTGTGGTGTGTCATATCAATTGGTGTTTTTTGGATTCATTGTGTTTACTCGTTGTTTACGTACCTTGTTGTTATTGCGTAATTTTGTTAAAATTTTCGTCGTGATTACTTCTGAAGTTGTTTCGAGTCTTCTACATCCATGAATGAATTGATTGATGCTAAGGACAGCAGATGGGTCGTATACGCCGGGGAGGCTAGGCTATTGCTGAGAATGAAATGCACACGGAGATAATTGTTAGCTGTGTTCTTACAGGCCGAGGAGCGGGAGTTTAGACGACTGAGGCTCGCATACGTCACCGTTACTAGAACTGAGGCAGAATGAGTGACAAGCGATTGCAGTGGTAATTGCAGTGAATAGATAAGAGGATGTGCGTAGAGTATCGTGAGGTGCTCTTATGGTTACGTTGCATTCTGCAAGAGTCATTCTAGCAAGTGGCGATTGTGTTGCAAGATGTCAAGAGGAGGTCTCTGTCTGGAGGCGCAGGTCGTCAGCGATGTGTGAGATTGTGCTGTAAGTATGCTTGTGGTGTGTTGGCTTTCCTGTTTGTTTTCCATTTCAGCTCTGTCCGTGTGACCCAGGTTCTCGCAATGGCATCCAAGTCGACGTGTATTGGTCGTGAAGGAAAAAAGGGATGGATCCCTTTTTTGCCGGGGAGTGTCAATGGAGTTGAAGATTGAACGATCAATTCATGGTTGTTTGCTCAAACCAACTTCCCCAATTTTAGCGGAGGCATCAGTACGACAGTCATCGTCTCATCGGTCGCTGTTCAGAAAGAAGTCAGCAGAAAACCGTCAGAAGTAATCTTGTGATTTATTATTGTAATATTTGTTCACAGACCCTAGTAAACCCATTATTTTTATATGTTGGTGTAACAATAAAGAAATCTCGAGTGGCCTATCGGTCTTTTGGTTTTTTCGTCCGTTATTACTAAGCGTTTCTGAAAACCTGCAAGGAACAGCGTGGGCCCGAGCGTAGCATGATCTGGGCATTAACGGTTTATGAGACGTGGCTGGGACCCTAGTTGGGAAAATCATTGCAGAGTTCATCTGTTGACCTCCTTTTATCATGTTTATTGTCAAATCTGAACAGTGACCCGCCCATGTCATTGTATCGTAGATTGTAGATGACGAACAAACACACGAAGTATCTGGTCAACCAGGCGTGGATTCAGAGTAATTTACACCAAAGCTAATATCGTTCAAATAGTAAATTGAAACTAGAAATGCCTTTATTCATGCAAGTCAATTTAACAATTACTCTCTTGTACACAGTTGAGTTATCATCATTAAACTGACCATTGATATTCGTCCCTTCAAACGGGCTGATACTAGCATAGTCATTGCATAAGGCACGTGAGTTCATGGGCGGCCATTTCATTGTGGATGACAACACCGACGACGACGACTGAGTAACACAAGTTGATGAACTTAGCGGTGGATCGGAAGCTGTTGTTGTTCGGCTTTTAGAAGGTTGTCTAACTGCAAGAATACCACCATTGCTGTCTTTTATGATTAGCTCCAGTTTAGCATTAACATCTGTCGATAGGTGGGCTACACGCGGATCATTTACACTGACGGTCTCATGAGTATCCATACCCTTTGCAACCGCATCTGCCTATAAGTCTGATTCCTGTTCAAGTTGTACAGAACCTGTCAGCCACGTCTCATAAACCGTTAATGCCCAGATCATGCTACGCTCGGGCCCACGCTGTTCCTTGCAGGTTTTCAGAAACGCTTAGTAATAACGGACGAAAAAACCAAAAGACCGATAGGCCACTCGAGATTTCTTTATTGTTACACCAACATATAAAAATAATGGGTTTACTAGGGTCTGTGAACAAATATTACAATAATAAATCACAAGATTACTTCTGACGGTTTTCTGCTGACTTCTTTCTGAACAGCGACCGATGAGACGATGACTGTCGTACTGATGCCTCCGCTAAAATTGGGGAAGTTGGTTTGAGCAAACAACCATGAATTGATCGTTCAATCTTCAACTCCATTGACACTCCCCGGCAAAAAAGGGATCCATCCCTTTTTTCCTTCACGACCAATACACGTCGACTTGGATGCCATTGCGAGAACCTGGGTCACACGGACAGAGCTGAAATGGAAAACAAACAGGAAAGCCAACACACCACAAGCATACTTACAGCACAATCTCACACATCGCTGACGACCTGCGCCTCCAGACAGAGACCTCCTCTTGACATCTTGCAACACAATCGCCACTTGCTAGAATGACTCTTGCAGAATGCAACGTAACCATAAGGGCACCTCACGATACTCTACGCACATCCTCTTATCTATTCACTGCAATTACCACCGCGATCGCTTGTCATTCATTCTGCCTCAGTTCTAGTAACGGTGACGTATGCGAGCCTCAGTCGTCTAAACTCCCGCTCCTCGGCCTGTAAGAACACAGCTAACAATTATCTCTGTGTGCATTTCATTCTCAGCAATAGCCTAGCCTCCCTGGCGTATACGACCCATCTGCTGTCCTTAGCATCAATCAATTCATTCATGGATGTAGAAGACTCGAAACAACTTCAGAAGTAATCACGACGAAAATTTTAACAAAATTACGCAATAACAACAAGGTACGTAAACAACGAGTAAACACAATGAATCCAAAAAACACCAATTGATATGACACACCACACATATGTACAAACAGCACACACAAACTCGCGGATCATGTCTTGGTGGAATTCTTTGAATAATTGCAGGACTTACACCGGTACGCCTGCAACCCTTCTCAGGTTGACGATTGTAATTTGTGGAATGTCCGGACAAAAACAAGATTAACCAACAGTTGCAATAATTGGAACTCACACAATTATTTAACACAAACATATGTACAATCAACACATCAAATGTTGTGGATTCTGGCACGACAAACTACCCTTGAAGAACTGTAGGACATACAGCAGTACGCCTACATTCCTTCTCAGGTTGATGACCCAAGTGGAAGTCGTCCGGACACAAACAGAATTACCAACAGGTAGATGACAGATGATATCAATTCAGTATATACAATATGAACATATGTACAAAATCACACACCAAGCACATTGGACTGCTCATTGATGCGCTACCATTTGAAGAATTGTAGGACTTACACCGGTACGCCTGCAACCCTTCTCAGGTTGACGCTCTAGGTTGGAAAATCGTCGCAGAGTTCATTTGCTAACTTCCTTCTATGAGCTATATCCTCAAATCTGAACGGAAACACGCTCATGTCATTGTATCGTAGAATATAGATGACGAACAAACACACGACATATCTCATCAACCAAGTGTAGAAACAGAGTAATTTACACCAAAGATAATAACATTCAAATAGTAAATTGAAACTAGAAATGCCTTTATTCATGCAAGTCAATTTAACAATTACTCTCTTGTACACAGTTGAGTTATCATCATTAAACTGACCATTGATATTCGTCCCTTCAAACGGGCTGATACTAGCATAGTCATTGCATAAGGCACGTGAGTTCATGGGCGGCCATTTCATTGTGGATGACAACACCGACGACGACGACTGAGTAACACAAGTTGATGAACTTAGCGGTGGATCGGAAGCTGTTGTTGTTCGGCTTTTAGAAGGTTGTCTAACTGCAAGAATACCACCATTGCTGTCTTTTATGATTAGCTCCAGTTTAGCATTAACATCTGTCGATAGGTGGGCTACACGCGGATCATTTACACTGACGGTCTCATGAGTATCCATACCCTTTGCAACCGCATCTGCCTATAAGTCTGATTCCTGTTCAAGTTGTACAGAACCTGTCAGCCACGTCTCATAAACCGTTAATGCCCAGATCATGCTACGCTCGGGCCCACGCTGTTCCTTGCAGGTTTTCAGAAACGCTTAGTAATAACGGACGAAAAAACCAAAAGACCGATAGGCCACTCGAGATTTCTTTATTGTTACACCAACATATAAAAATAATGGGTTTACTAGGGTCTGTGAACAAATATTACAATAATAAATCACAAGATTACTTCTGACGGTTTTCTGCTGACTTCTTTCTGAACAGCGACCGATGAGACGATGACTGTCGTACTGATGCCTCCGCTAAAATTGGGGAAGTTGGTTTGAGCAAACAACCATGAATTGATCGTTCAATCTTCAACTCCATTGACACTCCCCGGCAAAAAAGGGATCCATCCCTTTTTTCCTTCACGACCAATACACGTCGACTTGGATGCCATTGCGAGAACCTGGGTCACACGGACAGAGCTGAAATGGAAAACAAACAGGAAAGCCAACACACCACAAGCATACTTACAGCACAATCTCACACATCGCTGACGACCTGCGCCTCCAGACAGAGACCTCCTCTTGACATCTTGCAACACAATCGCCACTTGCTAGAATGACTCTTGCAGAATGCAACGTAACCATAAGAGCACCTCACGATACTCTACGCACATCCTCTTATCTATTCACTGCAATTACCACTGCAATCGCTTGTCACTCATTCTGCCTCAGTTCTAGTAACGGTGACGTATGCGAGCCTCAGTCGTCTAAACTCCCGCTCCTCGGCCTGTAAGAACACAGCTAACAATTATCTCCGTGTGCATTTCATTCTCAGCAATAGCCTAGCCTCCCCGGCGTATACGACCCATCTGCTGTCCTTAGCATCAATCAATTCATTCATGGATGTAGAAGACTCGAAACAACTTCAGAAGTAATCACGACGAAAATTTTAACAAAATTACGCAATAACAACAAGGTACGTAAACAACGAGTAAACACAATGAATCCAAAAAACACCAATTGATATGACACACCACACATATGTACAAACAGCACACACAAACTCGCGGATCATGTCTTGGTGGAATTCTTTGAATAATTGCAGGACTTACACCGGTACGCCTGCAACCCTTCTCAGGTTGACGATTGTAATTTGTGGAATGTCCGGACAAAAACAAGATTAACCAACAGTTGCAATAATTGGAACTCACACAATTATTTAACACAAACATATGTACAATCAACACATCAAATGTTGTGGATTCTGGCACGACAAACTACCCTTGAAGAACTGTAGGACATACAGCAGTACGCCTACATTCCTTCTCAGGTTGATGACCCAAGTGGAAGTCGTCCGGACACAAACAGAATTACCAACAGGTAGATGACAGATGATATCAATTCAGTATATACAATATGAACATATGTACAAAATCACACACCAAGCACATTGGACTGCTCATTGATGCGCTACCATTTGAAGAATTGTAGGACTTACAGCAGTACGCCTACAACCCTTCTCAGGTTGACGCTCTAGGTTGGAAAATCGTCGCAGAGTTCATTTGCTAACTTCCTTCTATGAGCTATATCCTCAAATCTGAACGGAAACACGCTCATGTCATTGTATCGTAGAATATAGATGACGAACAAACACACGACATATCTCATCAACCAAGTGTAGAAACAGAGTAATTTACACCAAAGATAATAACATTCAAATAGTAAATTGAAACTAGAAATGCCTTTATTCATGCAAGTCAATTTAACAATTACTCTCTTGTACACAGTTGAGTTATCATCATTAAACTGACCATTGATATTCGTCCCTTCAAACGGGCTGATACTAGCATAGTCATTGCATAAGGCACGTGAGTTCATGGGCGGCCATTTCATTGTGGATGACAACACCGACGACGACGACTGAGTAACACAAGTTGATGAACTTAGCGGTGGATCGGAAGCTGTTGTTGTTCGGCTTTTAGAAGGTTGTCTAACTGCAAGAATACCACCATTGCTGTCTTTTATGATTAGCTCCAGTTTAGCATTAACATCTGTCGATAGGTGGGCTACACGCGGATCATTTACACTGACGGTCTCATGAGTATCCATACCCTTTGCAACCGCATCTGCCTATAAGTCTGATTCCTGTTCAAGTTGTACAGAACCTGTCAGCCACGTCTCATAAACCGTTAATGCCCAGATCATGCTACGCTCGGGCCCACGCTGTTCCTTGCAGGTTTTCAGAAACGCTTAGTAATAACGGACGAAAAAACCAAAAGACCGATAGGCCACTCGAGATTTCTTTATTGTTACACCAACATATAAAAATAATGGGTTTACTAGGGTCTGTGAACAAATATTACAATAATAAATCACAAGATTACTTCTGACGGTTTTCTGCTGACTTCTTTCTGAACAGCGACCGATGAGACGATGACTGTCGTACTGATGCCTCCGCTAAAATTGGGGAAGTTGGTTTGAGCAAACAACCATGAATTGATCGTTCAATCTTCAACTCCATTGACACTCCCCGGCAAAAAAGGGATCCATCCCTATTTTCCTTCACGACCAATACACGTCGACTTGGATGCCATTGCGAGAACCTGGGTCACACGGACAGAGCTGAAATGGAAAACAAACAGAAAAGCCAACACACCACAAGCATACTTACAGCACAATCTCACACATCGCTGACGACCTGCGCCTCCAGACAGAGACCTCCTCTTGACATCTTGCAACACAATCGCCACTTGCTAGAATGACTCTTGCAGAATGCAACGTAACCATAAGGGCACCTCACGATACTCTACGCACATCCTCTTATC